CACACACACACACACACACACACACACACACACACACACACACACACACACACACACACGTTTTGTTCAAATTTCTTGTATTTTTCAATTGTAAATATTATATAAATTCAGTGGGCACTGTTTCAGGACATGTACTCAAAGTATGCATTCATACTAGTGATGAATAGTCACTAATAGACAAAACAGAGACTTTTATCTATATATCTGCTAGTGATTAAAAGACCTGGAACAACTTTTTTGACTTTTACATGTTTTGCCAAAGATAATAAGTACATAGCATCAGATAAATAATTCTTCATATAGCCTGTGTTGTAGTTAACCAAAGTCACAATCTGCAGTGAAAAATAAAAGGACATCGGTGTTACACAATTTGCTTTATCACTGAAGAGTAATATGATGAGTACATGGAGGATGGTGTTGCAAACAAATAATGCAACTCCAGCATTTTCTGCAACTGCTAGCAAAACAAAACAGTTAATAAAGGCCTTACAGTGACAGTTTAATTGAGTTCGTGTGGATTTTTTGACCTCTTAAAACTCAGTTTATAGTCAAACTATTTGTTGCTGGTGTGACTGATAGGATTTTAGAAATATGCTCACCATAAAAACAAAAATATGTTGCATTGTTGAACCCAATTCAAATCACAAAGTCTATCACTAGAGCTAAATAAATGTAGTGTTTTTTTACTGCTAAGCTGCATTTGTTCAGTATTCTTTTATTGGGAGTGACTCGACTGAAAGAAGGTGGTTTTGGAAGCTGTGTTTATGCGTGTGTGTTATTTTGCCCCTCCAAATACTGTATCCGTGTACTCCAGCTTTGAGACAAACGTAATAAATTCAAGAGTCAGTACAAAAATCAAACAAAAGCTTATGTTAGTTTCTAAAAAAATGTTTAGTTGTTGAAAAACTTTTAAAAGTTGTTACAATCACATTCTCAGGATACTTCGGCTGATCGTAGTGCTTATGTGTTTTGTCTTCATGTTCACCTTTTTGACATAAACCAGATGTTTTTACATGAAAAAATTCAAGAATTATAGAATAATTTGGGTTAATGCTCACATTTGGATAAACACTGCTTCACAAAAACAGAGTTTTAAGTGTGGACTCCTGTCGCTCTTCGGAGCTTGGTAATGACTGTTTCCATAAAACACAGAAATGACAAAACGTGAGCGTTGAGGAGCGATGTGGGAAATGTTCAGAAGCGTCCGTTTGCCAGAGTGAGCACGAAGCGAGGGAGGCGTAGGAATGATGGGACGACAGCTGACAGCCAGGAGAGGTATGGGACCTGGGACAGGAGGAACTTTATGGAAGTGTAATCAATGACACTTCGCCCTGGAAAGAAACACATTTACATCTTAGTATAGCTGCAAGAGAAAACCTGCACCTATCAGCAATAACATTAAGACCAAACTACAACCTCCTCAGATACATATTTGATAAATCTGGGTGTCATCTGCAGGGGTAAAAAAGCTTAATTGTATAAAGTAGAGATGCTCAATGTTGACTTTTTGCCGATATTCAATATGGCGATATTATTCAACACTTAATTTCCGATTGCGATATTAACCGATAGTACAATCAGATATTAAGCTGACATCACATATCTCCAGTCAGGGACATTCTGCCTGCTTTTACTGTGAAACCCCACTGGATGCATTCCACAGTTAAACATTGTACAAAATAAAAACCATTTCACTGAAGTTATGGAAAAAGGGCCATATTTATTTTTAACATTTTGTCTCAACCAGTAGTTTGGATCATGCTCTCCCTGAGATAATCCAGTTTGATGATGTCATCAATCACGCACTGGTGAATGTCTCGGGACCATAAGCATCTATTAACCCATTTTAGTCCAACTCAGGGATTAATTTATCAGGGTTTTGTTATCGGAAGAAAAACGGATACCGATATTTAAAGATTTTACATTTTTATGCTAATATCGGACCAATAATATCTGTAGGCCGATATCGAACATCCCTAGTATAAAAGGTATAGTCTGGTCCAGGGGTGCCCAAACATTTTCCCCAAGAGGGCCAAAATAAAAATCCATCCGGGGCTGCGGGCCAAGTGCAGCAATAAAACACATGAAATGCAAATACTTTTTAATTAAAGTCCTTTATTTTTAATGATTAAGCTAGCAGCCAGTGTGGTGGCCCACTTTTGTTTTAGTCAGTGCACTTGGAGTAAGTCTACTCAAGTAGCAAAGGCTCATGAGAAATTTCATAAACTGATAAAATCAGTTTTTGTGGCCTTATGAAGTGTGCAAATCTACATGTGTGGTTAAATCTAATCTAAATATATTTTGTTACTTGTATTTCATGTTTAATATTAATATATCAAAGATAAAGACAGCACCAAGAGTGAAAACTATCTGCACCATAGCCCCTTTTATAATCATTGGGCCAATGGATGAAATTACTAAGTGGAAATACTGTTTCTATATAGGACAACAGGTTACAGCCTAGTAACTATCAACTGTTGGTGGGCCAAATAAAATGGCGCGGGCCCCACTTTGGGATCCTCTGCTCTGGTCATTTTAGATATTCGTTAAAAAAGTTTTCAATAGTTAGTTCCTTATCAGTCATGACATTTGGCCCTTACACATTGGCTTGACTCAGCCCCACCAGAGTCACCCCGGCGCAGGTTTCAGCATCTTTACATTGGTTGGTCCTGCCCACTTTTGGCTCAGTTGTTGGAACCTACTCTGCAACGCAAACAGGTTCCAAAGAGCCCATCGATAGCCCAGAGAGCGACATCAGTCATGAGAGTCAAAAAGAATCAAACTGACCATTTTAAAACCTCACAACTAAAGCATCTGATTTTATTATTTACTTAAAAAARCATCCAGGGTGAGTTAAAAGAGGCAGGACATCCTTTTATTTCAGAAACAAAAGGGAAAATGACATCTGAATAGTACTGGGTGAGGGGCTTATATTTTAGGATATGTCCAGAACATGGCCGTCACCTTGAGAGCCGCCATATTGGATCAAGGGGAAGTTTTTCCAAAGATAGGTCCCTCACCCATTACTTGCTGGGTTATTCTGATAGGTCATTCCCCCCTTTTCTTTTAAAAATAAAATTGTGTCCTGCGACTTTTGACTTACTTTGTATATAATGCATCCATTAAAAAGACAACACTGGTACTATGACGTGGTGCAAAAGTTTCCTTGCTTTTTGGCCGACGACAGAATTCAGACGGTACYGGACCGAATGAACTCGAGTTGCAGGCTTCAACCAGCAAAGGGAATAGGTAGCCCCAGCTCAGTCACAGCAATTTTGGATACGGTGGCAGAGAATGGTGAATGTTTTGTGACTTTCTCTTTATTAAAAAAACATTTTGTTAAGCTTTGGCATTCTGTACTGTGATGAACTGCTTACGTCAAGGCAGCAGTTATATGTAAAACTACTGAGACAGTGTACAGTGGGGTCRGGTCAAATTAGGGCAAGGAGGGTCATGCTGAGACTGGATAATGTAAAATTGACAGTTGTGTATTTAGTTTGTTGTGGTTTTCTCAACCAAACGACTGCAGACTGTATCTGTATACTGTACAGTATCACTACGCCTCATCAGATGRGTGAGTTAGTCCAAACAAAATTTACTCAACTCCCAGCTGACTGACGCTCAGGGGTGTCCAGAAGCTGAGATGTACACTGTGTATTTATGCTCAGGACACATACTTTGTGTAGTAACACAGACATTGTTCTGTAGAGAAAACAGCAAAGTATATAGTTTTTTTTTATTAGCTAATGACGCATTTTCTTTCTCTCAGGTATTGAGAAAGCGCTGTGTGATAAGCCAGAAAAGCAACAGAAAACAAAACGTTGTTTGGCTAACCATTAGTCAAGCCTGGAGGAATACTTCAATGATTGATCTCTTCACTCACAACATACTATTAACTATGTGACAGACCATCACTTTAAATATGACCACACTATTTCTTTAAAGACACAAGGCCCACATAGTCTATCATTAATGTCCTAAACACACCGGTGTTTTTTGTTTGTACATACATCTTGCAACATTATAAGGAAAACAGTTGGATGGGTGGTCATAATGTTTTGGACAATCTGAGTATATTCTTAGAATTTTTCTAAGAAAAGGAAACACATTCACCATCAAGGTCATTAAATCCATAGCGCCTTGCCAGGTCACACGTCAGGAGCACCTTCCCAGTCAGTGCCATTAGATTCTTATCTTGAAAGGAAAACAGAGAAGTAGAAATTAAAAACAAGCTTACGTTGGTTTTTACTTCTTTCTAAAATACTTAGATTAGCCTGTCTAAAGTTATATCAGTGAACTTCTTATACAGGTAAAATAATAAACAGACCGTGAAAGTCCGTTTTGTCATTTACCGAAGCTGTGGTCCAAGACGTTATGCAACAGTATAATCTAACCTTTTGCCAAGTTGACAATGCACTTCCCACTGAGTTCTGTGGTTTCTCCACTGGAAAATAATTCTTTCATCTGAGGAAAGAAAAAAAAATCCAGAGATTCAGGATAGAAATATAGCTGTTCTATATGCACTTCCTATTTAAAATGAGTCTACCTTGGGATCCACATCCCCTTTCTCCAAGACGAACTGAGATATTAACTCAGTTTGAACGGCTCCTGGCCACAAGCTGACTGAAGCAACTCCCCTATTTTTTAGCTCAACGGCCATGTCGGCTGCCAGCCTGTCACACTGCAAACAAACCACAACAAGAACAGGTTTTTTTTTTTCATTACAAGATTCATGTAGGAAACGATACAGGACCAAGTATGGCTTGGAACTTAACTGGACTCTCAACACAAATCAGGTGAGTAACTTACTGCAGCTTTCCCAACCCCATAAGCTACATTGAAGACGTATCGCAGCCCACCTATAGATGAAATGGTCACTATTAAACCACGACCTTGAGCCACCATCAGCCGAGAGCCATAAACTGAGAAAAAGTAGTGACCCCTACCAGGAGAGAAAAGATTTTCATTAAGCAAGTCAAAACAAAATTAATTAGTGTATTCCACATCACACTCAGTTTAGCTTGCATTGGGTTAATTTTAAATTACTGTACTCAAATAAGAAAAACAGGCAAACACACGTAAACTAAAAACTAATKGTTTAGATCTACTTTGAAGTCACAGCTTCTATTTAGGAAAAACTAACTAGAAATCTGAATTTTGACTTCGAAAGTTAGGAAATGCCAAACTAAGCCCAACCTCAAAATGCTTTATTGCATTGCACAAGAAAAGTATTGATAGCGGCAGTAAAAATCCTACACTTTACATCTCTAGAATTGCCACAGCGTTTGTATTAGTGATGTTCCAATAGCAGCACCCCCGCTTCTCTCAAATATATTTATTAAAAAGTATTTCAAACAAGCATGTACAGTGAGTTTTACATATTTCTATCAAACAGAAAATGTAACAGCGGCATAAACAGAGACAAAAAAGGAAAATAATAATTTTAACAACAAAAATAAAAAATCCAATGGAAGTAATTTCCCCACTTTCCTATCCCCCGATCCCAGCCGTTAGGTGTATATATAACCACCCTTAAGGAGTGCACAGTTAACCATTGATTTTTTTATTCAAGATAAGAGACTAGAGGTTGCCTAATATTCTTGAAATCCTTAAGCTTGTCTTTTAGGATGAATCTAATGCTCTCTAAATGGAGAGTGCATTTTTATACAAGAGTGCCCCCAGCTTCCAGACTGGTCCACTCCAGTTTGACAAGAGGGGTTCACGACTATCTTATGGCACAGAAATGTTTTATTTACAAATTAATTAAAAGATGTAATTCATTCATTCATTCATTTCTATAGTGCTTTACACAACCACAGTGCTGGTGACCAAAGTGCTTCACAGAGTCAGTGATTAACATGACAAGGAGTAAAAAGAAGAAGACACAACAAAATTAAACTAAAACCAGAAAGGTCACCACATATTAAGTACTAAAAGCCTGTTGGAATAAAAAGGTCTTAAAGGGATCCACGATTAGTTGTAACATTAGACTTTATTTGATAAACATATATTTTAACTGTAAAACAAGGACTGTAAAAATTCTGTAGACTGTTTAGTTTTTAACATTTTTAAACTAAAAGTTTAAAAATATACAGTATTACACGGCCGGGGCCATTTTGTTTACAAAGCATTCTGGGTAAATGATTATGTCAACTAGGTCCTCGGTGCGAGGCTGCTAGCGAGCTATATCCACCCTGAAGGTTAATCTTGGACAATATCTGATGATCGACTCTTTTAAATGAAACCAGAGAGCGTTGACAGAGAGGAGAAGGTAGAAATGACTCAGCCTGTAACTGAAAATATGGATGGAGGACAACAGACCTGCTTCATGGAAGAAGAACCTCAGCTTAGCCTGTTAGCTTCAGCGTTAGCCCTGATGCTATCACCATATCCATGTATTAGCTCAGCGCTACACATTCTCCTCTCGTCACTGAGGTCCTCCATCCACATGACAGAGAGTGGAACGCAAAAATGACTCAGGTTGTAACTGAAAATATGGATGGAGGACCTCAGTTTAGCTTGCTTGTTGCGCTAGCGCCGAGCTAATACATATAAGGCAATATAGCATCAGTGCTAGCGCAAAGGCTAACAGGCTAAGCTGAGGTTCTTCTTCCATGAAGCAGCTCTGTTGTCCTCCATCCATATTTTCAGTTACAGACTGAGTCATTTCTACCTTCTCCTCTCTGTCAACGCTCTCTGGTTTCATTTAAAAGAGTCGATCATCAGATATTGTCCAAGATTAACCTTCAGGGTGGATATAGCTCGCTAGCAGCCTCRCACMGAGGACCTATCCACGTCATCATTTACCCAGAATGCTTTGTGTGTAAATAAAATKGCTCCRTCCGTRTTAAAATATATATTTAAAAATTTACTAAACTAAACAGCCTACAATACTTTTAAAGTCTTTATTTTGCAGTTAAAATATATGTTTATCAAATAAAGTCTAATGTTACAACTAGTCAGGGATCCCTTCAATTTAAAAAGGGCCAAGTTTATGGGAGGGAGATGAATCCAGAGACAAGGTGCAGCCGCAGAAAATGCACGGTCACCCCAACGTTTATACTGTATTTTGTCCTTGGAACAGAAAGCAGGAGCTGGCTATCTGACCTCAGAGAGCTAGAGCGGGTGGGGAAACTTAACAACTCGCTTATATAAGGAGGAGCAAGGCCATTCAGAGCTTTAAAAACTAACAATAAAAGTTTAAAATCTATTCTAAAACGGACAGGAWGCCAACAAGGGAAGACTTGTCTATCCAACCTTACATGTTGGAGCCAGAGTCTGACCCAGAGCCAGAGGAGAATGAAGATGGCGAACTTGTAGTTGGTCAGTTCAGACCTTATTTGGCAGTTCTGTTGCCAATACTTTGGCGTAATAATTCAGAAAACATCAAGGAATAGAGAAAACTGAACACGTTAAATAAAACGTGGCCCAAAAAATTATAAACATATCACCGGGAGAGCCTAAATTCAACTTTTCTGCACTCCTAGAGACAACAAGTCCACAGCAAAATGCATTTAKCGACAAAAAATGTGRATTTTGCACATGTCCCCTTTAACACAGTTACGYTAGGTTTGACGTCATGCTCAGGTCTGAGTTCCACAGCAAATGGAATGCAGCCAAATGGATGAAAAATAATCATGACGCATGGCCTGACACAATGATGTCTTTGTGAATTTACCACAGCATGAAAGATTAAAAAATCAATCTGTACCGAAGTCCTGTGTTGTTGATGGAATCCCAAACAGAAGGATCGGTTTCCCAGAACTTCTTCCCCAAGTTATCAAAGATATCCTGGAATAAGACAAACTGTGAGCTCAGCACCTCATTGGRCAGTTGTTTTCTTTCATTTACTCATCATTTATTCTGCTGTATTAAAGTTTATAATAAACCAGGCTGAGGTTTCCTGGGGGGTGTTGACACCTACCTGTACTCCAGCATAGGCATTGTTCACCAATATATCCAGTCTGCCATCCTGTTCCCGCTTGATCCTTTCAAACAATGCTTCGATATCATGATCTTTGGTGGAATCGCAGACGACTGGCACACACTTTCCACCTCTTTCATTCACCTGTGTTGAGACACAGGACGAGACAATGACTGAATAAAACTCCCAACGAAGCTTTGTTTGCAGCAGCGTAGCCAACCTGATTAATACCATTTCTGAAAACATTTAAAATAGCCCCCTTTCTTAAATGTCACCTGTGCAGCAGTTTGCTTGAGGGTCTCCTCCTGGCGTCCTGTGATGTAGACAGTAGCTCCTGCCTCAGACAACTGCAGAGCTATTCCTCTMCCAATGCCTCTGGAGGCACCTGTAACCACACACACCCATCCAGACAGAAACATCTTCCCTGCGGTAGGATATAACAGACAACAATCAGGGAGCTCAAAACCTTAGAATACACCGCATTTACAATCATGTACATACTAGATATATACATACTAATAAATAATACATTTATACACACACCTATCATCTTTACACACACTTCAATCATATTTAAGACGCAGATCAGGGAGTAAATCCACGACTAATGAATGTAATTACCATAAGAAAGGATTCTGAGAGAGGATTTTATATAATAAACAAGTATACTCCACATAATAGCGTTTGTCSAAACTGTAAACATAGTTACGTTTGAAATTTATTTAATTTTAATCCTTTATTTGCATTAACTATAGCCTTACCTACAGCAGAGGAAGCGCCGGATCAGGTTTGTCGAGTCCCAGAATGGTATTCCTAAGAAATACAGGAGGAAATCTGTTCACGCACTWAAACGCTGCCACTACTCCTGTGACTAACAAAACGAGTGAGCGAACAAATTCCAAAGTCTACAGCGTTGTTGATGAAGTATCGCGAGAGTGTGAATCTCCATCCTGTCGCGAGAGGTTGCGTTAATGGACTTAAAGCGTTTTCAAATTGCAATTTTAGCTTAAATGTCTAGTGATAATTAACCCTTTAAAAAATCATCATACCGAGTGTCAAATATTAGCCCACTTTTAACTAAAACTGAAAAAACAAAAGTTACTTTCGTGTTACCTACTTGAAAAAAACTGATCGGTAGCTCTGACATGGGCGAGCGTGCTGCCAAAACGGTAAGAGAGTGAAAGGGAAGGGAACTCTCTTGAATATCAAAGATGATGGACACTTGATTGAACAGCACCAGACAGTGGCAGTGTAGTTCTAAAAATCCTACACATCAATCCTAGTTGTTCTGGGACAGATATATAAATTAATTGTTAAAACAACTTTGCTAACATAGAAACATAAAAACAAATTACTGAGGAAAAAAAAAGGAATTTAATCATGGCTTTTGTGTGGGAGTTTTGTTTAAAGTTAAAACTAACTGTAGATATTT